AAACTGCAATTTGCATATAAACAAAATTGTTTTTTTTTTTATTTCAAAGAAAATTACTACACTCAGTTACCAGACAGTTGGACATCTTAAAGCTCAAAATGATTTAAAGGGATTTAAAACTACTAATGCACTCACGCTTTCAAAGAAATTAGTAGGATCCAGATCAGACGAAGCACTCCGCACTGGTTGGAGATTAACGCCTGAATCCGGTTCACCTTCGCCTGAAAGACAAAGAAAGAAACGTTCAACGAATACGTCTGTGTTAAAAATGCTAGTCTTGGTAATGCAGATTTCGGGAATATTTTAGGCCACCCATATTATATAACTTCTAAAAGTCCCAAAAAAAGAAAAAAAAACGAGGACTTCAAAGATTGGTTTCTGTTTCTTGTCGATTTCTTTAGTTTTCTTTGCTTCTCACACTTGAACAACAGAATTTGGGTAATTAAACCGAAATCGACAAGAATTAACGTCGCATAGTCATTAAGTATTACAAAATACAAATTAACGCGTGAAGCCAGGCTCCAAAACGTCACCACAAGATAAGTTCCAAAGACACCAATCTGGAGAATAAAAGGGAAGGATATTACTCTGCTGTATGCAGGGTTTATATTTCCTTATATAGTGGGATTTTTTTGTGGCTATCGGAGAAGTTGGAACCATTTGACCCCTGAGTGACCTGACATTCATTACAATATACCGACATTGACCAAAGAATCTTCACAATATAAGTTGATTTACAACATCTTGACAAACAAATTATGTAAATGGCGAATATATACAAAACAGCGATGTTAATTTAAAAGAATGGAAAGTCTGAATGACGTCTTATATCACAACGTACCCAAGGGGAACTTCCTTCCCTTTAGAAGGTAGAAACAAGAACTTCATATAAGAACGAAATAGTCTTAATTAATGAACTGGAAATATCTCGAGGCTTGTGGAAATTAGCAAAAATAAAAGAAATTAAAAGAGAAGGAAATGAGGATGTGCGAAATGCCATGATTGAAATGCTACATGGAAATTTCTCGACAGACTAATAGATATGCTATATCCTCTGAAAATTAATAATAAAGAAAACTTCGAAATTCAGTCAACAAACAGCTTGTGAGAGTTCGTGCCTGAATTTTAATTTGTTACGAAAGTTCTTGCTTGAGTTGTGATGACGATGAGGTGCTTGATGTGTCGCTTGGAACAGATGGATATTTTTGATAAAAGTTTCATTGGTTGACGGAGAATTATTCTTTCGCTTCGTTATAAAACAGTCATTGGCGAGTATCAAGAGTGAAGTAGATTGCTAGGCTGTTTTTGTAGCTAGGCTTTTTGTAGGTAGGCAGTGAAGAGATTGCTAGGCTGTTTTTTCTTTTTTTTGCAGAACCAGTTTGTTGGAATTTGATTGGAGTTTTAGCCGAATTTAACGAATCTTGTAGCATAGTTTATTAGGTGAACAACAACAATGATGAATATTGCTGCATACTGACAGTTGAACAACGAACAAGAACCATGATTAATGAATAACGATCCAGTTCCTTATATAGTGGGATTATGTTTACAATAGTCCAAGAAGTTAGAACCAAATGACCCCGCGCTGATCTGAGGTTCTTTGCAATATGCTAACACAATCCTGAGATCCTTTACATTATGGCGACATCGCACATGAACTTGATTATCAACATGAATTGATTTAGAACATCTTGCAACACGAGTTGAGCTACATCTTTATAATGTCGACGTTATTTTTATACTAAAAATATTTCGGTTTTTACCGAATATGAGAACAATTTACATGGAAATGACAGATCGAAAACTTCAAATATGATGGAAGACCGCTCTCTATGGCAAGAATTAATTAGCTGGTACCGGAATATCCGGAGAAAGTTACAGCATTTGTGGAAGATATACCAAGAAGAGTATTGGAATGAATTAAGAAATAGAATGCGACAGAAGAATGCATAAAAACTCATGTAGTCGTATATAATGTAAGCCAGTCAGTGGGGAATTAGTACCGTTGAAAGGAAACTCCCACAGAAGTTCATGGAAGATGGATCTAGTGGAAAAACAACGAAGGAAAAGACGGAACATTGTCGGTCTGATGTCGTAAGAATATCGAATGTCATCCCGCTTAACTCAGACTGTGGAACACTTGTACTATTTAGAGGTCGTCGGCTCTGAAAGCCCAGACTCAATATCTTCTCTCCAGCGAGAGGTGTCGCTGAAATTGCGAGTGGAAACGGAGGATCAGCAATCTTTGTTGAAAATCGATATCGTCGTGTTGTATGTGTTATTACAGCAGAATTTAAGCAAGCATGTGCTCATTGTTTTACATGTGCGTTGACAAACAGCCCCATACCAATGTGTGCAAACTAAAAAAAAAAAAAAAAAAAAACAAAAGGCGTTAATTTTCATATGTCTAAACCGTAGCGGAGCCTCTCCACTTGTGGAAACAGTTGATCCTGAGCATCAAACCACATTAGAAATGTATTTGAATTGGGTCTGTTGATTGGAATATTGGGTTTCACTGATCTTTTTTCTTGTGATATTGTTATTGAATTCGTCTCATTGATATTGTAATTCTTGAGTTTCAAACAGAACCAAAGAGACAGAATCAACTCTCACTAAACCAAAGAGGTAGAATCTGTCACGATAAGAAAACAACAATCATAGAATCTGAGCAGATGATGTTCCCGTACAGCACTTGAGATGAGAAGAGATTTCATTCTACATATCGAGGATCTGTGATATTAAATCCTGAAATCCCTTCTGGCATTCATCTTCCATTTGATCATCTTTGCCCTTCATTCAAAATATGTAGATGTATTCTACAGAACCATATTTAATATTTATTTACACAATAAAAGGGCGACAAAAGTTGAAATAACTTAAGAAATAAATCCCTGAATAAGTCGACCTTTACACTAAGTTTCTGAATGAATACGTATACTTTTTACATATATTGAGGAGAGCATTTTTGCCTATGTACAATTTACAATCGGCTATAAAAAAACTCACAACTAACAATTAAACAATTAATCAAAAACTACTGATTTCCATACATGCAAGATCATTCCAAATTCGAATGAAGTATTATGAGTTTCAAAAGTTATACCAAAAAACTTTCCCCAAGTCTCTTGGATTTCATTAAGCAACTGATATCCCAACTATTTGAACATTAAGAGCGTTTCAAATGATTCCATAATGCGGAAGAAATTATTGAAGATTATGAAAAAAATACGATTTCAACAAAAAAAAAAATCTTTTCAAATCCGATCAACGAACAAAACAAAATATATGAATACCTCAGTGTGAGACAAACCACTACCAGACATTCATGCAAACATCTTTGATTTCGAATATATTTTAATCAAACATATTTACAAATCTTCAAATAAGACAAACGACTTCCAAATTTCGAATTTTGATTGTAAATTCGTTAAAAGACAACATTCGCATGCAAAAGAAAAAACTGTTCGTATAACTGTACTACATATTGGAAAGGGTGAGTTGTTTGTAAAGCTGTCAAACTGTTGAATCCGAAGAATTATATACAATATATTTGAACAGGTTTATAAACGAAATATTTTTTTCTGCTTATGGTTCTATTAAATATACAACGTAACTATTGTAGTAGACAATTTTTCAGCATAAAACATTATTGGAACGTGTCTATTTAAACTAAATCTTTTCCATCCATTAGTAAGCGACAAGAATGGAAGATAAAGAACTATGGATATTTAATAAGTTAACTGAATTTTTGAATAAAATCAGCATCAACAGCAGCGGACCGTATTTTTGCACGTTCATCATTCCAGTCAGAGCTACAAACAATCAGACACATTAAAGATACAAAGTATTAGTCACGCTCTTTCTAGTTAAAATCATTGCATACTAATCTCTACGCAATCACTCAGCTAAAATCATTGTCTAATAAAATGCAAAAGATTGGTTGATTCAAGTTTCTAAAATCAAAAAACACAGAACGATGACTAACTTGGTATCAGATGCATCTTTTCTTCGCTTTTTCGGTGGACCTTCTTTCAATTCATTGATTTCACCATCAAAAATGCGAGATGTGCTGCCATTTAATAATCTTATCCCCGTTTCCTTCCAGCACTCAGAATCAGAAATGCAAACAAGTTCATGCTGGTAGACTACTTTCAAACGGCTGAAAAGTATAAGTATTTCAGAAATCCTGAGAATAATAACAGTATTTCAGAAATCCTGAGGATAAAAAAAAATCCAGAAAGGTTTGAAAATTGAAAATTTCAACTTTTCTCGGAAAGAGGGAGAGAAACTAGAAATATCACCAAGCAAGAGACTGTAGCAAAAAGTTACGATAAGCACTATGCGTAATCACTGCTGGATGGGAAGCTTTAAAAGTATTTTTAAAATATTTTCGATAAAGGTGAGCATGAGCACAAGAAGCACCTCCCTATCATTTCATCTAAAACGCGTCGGATCACTTCCACATCATTATCACCACAAACATCCTTCCGGTCATTCGCGCTCATTGGTTTCTCCAATTCCATTGGTACTTTTGATGCGAACCTTCAACAGCACTTTTTATTCGAACATTTTCGAAGGTTCATTTCTTCCCAGATCATACATTAGGGAAGAAGGAAAAAAGAAGCCAGTGATTTTAGCAAAACTACTGGAATAAAAAAACAACCTGGAATGGTTACATCTAATGTTACTTTATGGAAACGTAATCGATCAATTGTGTTGCTCATTTTGTGGTACGGACTTTTTTTTTGCTTAAGTTAAACTAAAGAATATATAAAGTTTGGCGACAGCAACAATTCAGAAATACTATGCAAAAAGGAAGTAGTCGTACGCAGTATTTATTGCGTTTGTACAAAATAAATATATCCAGTAGATCAAGAAAATTTTTCACTCAAGATGTACTTGCATCTCTAAATATTATCAAATTATTATCACACTCGATTTCAGAAGAGAAGAGGAAGCAATATCGAAAAACTATAATACAAAGGGAAATATGCTGTTCTATCATATGTACAATACATAGGACAAAAATTATATAGAATGTGCACAAATAATGTACCAAATACGCGAACTTGGTGACTACCTAAGGTGACATAGGTAGCTTCTATTCTTCCCATTAACTTTAGTGTGTCACATATGAAATATCTGCTTACAACAACAGGACAGAAGAATAATCATAAAATATTTAAATTCTAAAAAGTTACTTAAGTTTTGAGAGAAACAGCAAACTGGAATGCGATAGCAAAATATAAAATCAATTCAACATGTTCAAAAAAACCTACTGAGTTATTTACATTTTCATATCATAAAACAATGATAAAGAACGAATTTATAGCCTCCGATCAATATTTTGAAAATTGATATCATTATTGAACAGGTGTATATAATGCGTGAAAAGTAATAACATCCCACTAAATCACAAAAATATTTACATTTGAAGCACAAATCATTGAACAAATTAAATTTTAAAACAAAAATCTGTAAAACCTTTCATCAGGAGGAAGTAACAAGGCAGTGATCGTTACCTTATATCGATTCACATCCCAGTAAAAAATAAGTAATGCCGCGCTGACGTATATTACTCCAAATTATTACTGAAGATGAATCCGCAAAGAATCAAGCAGTAAAAAAAAGAACTAATGAAAACTAGAACAATTATCAGAAACAATGAAAATTAGAAAGCCAAAATAAAGTTATCCGAATTAACTAAGTCCAAAGTCAGTTTTAACTAAGTTCAAAGCCAGTTTCTGAGTGCACAGCATATCTCAATTTCTGCAACAGAACTGACTTTTTGCCATAATTTGGCAATTTCAAAAGGTTAAAACAAGTGGAAGCAGTGGGAAGCCGCGAAGGTGATTGACGTCGCTTAATAGCCAAAAAGCCACGTACAACACTAGCTAAAGTGTCGCCTTGGTCCTAAAAAACCATATATAAGGTTTAAAAAAATGAATCAAACAAGATTAATTCAATTCAAAAGTTAGACATTCCCATTAAATCGTAGTTATTAACAGGAAGCAAAGTATTTACCTGGTCATCAGAAACTTCAACACAACGAATCGAAAAAGGAGGCTCAAGATACGCAAATCCCAAAAGCGGTGCACGAGAACAGCTCGTTACGAACTTTAATAATTAATTTAAAAACCATACGTGATAAAATATTCATCGATTTGAAGTATTATAAGTTAGTGCTTCTCAATTCCTCCTAGTCCACCTAATTATATTGGTACGATTCAATTCATAAGACATAAAAATTCTACAAAGGGAAATACTTCAAGTAAGTAATAAACTACACGAAGCTTGCTTGTATAAGTTTTAAAAGTTGTATAAGTTTTAAAAGTAAAAGTGTATAAGTTTTCTTTTTCAAAATTTATATATATATATATATATATATATATATATATATATATATATATATATATATATATATATATA